AGGTCAAGAGAAGTAAGGTCTTGAGGGAAATCAGGCCAAAACTCTATGATTGATGTTAAAGTAGGAATATTAGTTTGACTTAGCCAAATTGCCTGTTATACTGTTCCAATCCATCAGATCATTGCTGATGCCAATGTAACTGTTCAGAAATGGTGAAATAGGCTGCACCTAAGATAACTAAATTATAGTCCTTGCTCTACCAATAAATTGCTATAGACCACAGGCAAATAACTTTATCTCTCTAGACCTCAGTTTCCTCATATCCAAAGAGGGCAGTTACACCTGCCTTGCCTATACTATAGGTTGTTGTGAAGTACAAAAAAGAGGCGTATGAAAGATCTTTCAAATGTGTTAAGCAATAGACAAACAATTTTCATCCTGAAATTTTAAAAAAGATTTGTTTAACCTTTTGAGCTCGGTGTGTCAGCATTTTGAAAAACCCTAACTTAACTCTGGTGCCATGTCACATATAGAAATTTTTTGATATTTGCAACCATAGTAAAACAAAGATTTATATTTTTGATATTTATTTTATATATTTAAATGCCATTTAACAAAGAAAAATCAACCAAAAAATGAGTTCGCATGTCACCTCTGACATGCGTGTTATAGGTTCGCCATCACTGGTTTAGCCTAATATATGAGTTTTCCAAATTGTCAACTCCTTACATACTAAAAAAAAGAGAGAAAAACATTAAAAAACTCAAAGTTTTGTTAACCAATTGAATCACTGAGGTGTGTAAGATTACACATTTCTGAATGACTTTTGCAGAGTCTTATCAGATTGCCTTCAAAATTAAAGCAGCTGTGGAAATCCCTACCCACATCCCAACCTGGTCTAGAAACCATGACAAGTTGGCTTTGGTGATTCCTATAAAGTTGTTTTCAGAGACAAATAGGAAATGTAACAAAATGCTCCGATAGGCATGCCATCTGTAGAGTTAGCACCTGCTCTCTTCCCCTCCCACGCCCCAGCATCCTGTCCTGGGCCCAGATCTGCGTAGCTTTTCACTATATCTGCCAACTAGGTGACTTCAATGCACGTGATAAACTTTGATCAGTCAAGTAAGAGGCTTCAGTTCTTAGACAAGCCTTTGTTCCACTAAAGGAAAATTATCACAAGAGCCAAAATGGGCTCGAGGACTTCTCCAAGGCCAGTTTCATACAATTACAGAATGCCAGAGCTGCAAGGACCCTGCAAAGATAAGCTGAAGGGACCACAGAGATGCAGACATGTAAGGATTTGTTCATGTGACCAAAAAAGGTTGTCCAACCTCCCTGCCTCCACTTCCTGATCTCCCACCTCCTGCAGTCTGACTTCTGCCCACAATCTTCCCCTGGAATTGCTCCCACCATTATTAGTTCAATAATTTTGGCCAAATTCTTTCTAGAGTTTATTTTTAGTGACCTTTCTATTAGTCTGTTGACCTATTATTCTGTTGTCATCCTTCTGAAAACTCGCCTCTTTTGCCTCTCAGAAAACTTCTTCATGGATTCCTTTATTTCTTTGTATCCTTTAAAATGTAGGTATTCCCTATCCTCATTCATCTGTTCTCACCTCTCCTCCCTTCTCCTTTTTCTCATTCTGCATATTTCCCTTGGGTGAGTCCCATCCATGTTTATAGTTCTCAATATCACCTTCATTGTGATAAATCCCAAATCTATAACTGTAGCTCTGAACTTCAGATATTTAAGTATGTCTACCTCTGAATATTTCTACTTGGATATCTCAAAGTCACCTCACATTTGGCATGCTCAAAACTTAACTCCCCACTCCACTTCCAACCCAGACCTGTTCTTTCTCTAGTGTCTCCCTATCTGAGTGAATGGTACTACTACACCCACTTAATTGTTCAGGTCAGAATCCTGGTAGTCATCTATAATTCCTCCCTCTCTCTTGCCCAAATTACTTGCCAATCCCAGTGGTTCTTCCTCCCCAAAGCTTCTTGTTTGCCACCACTTCTTTCCATTTCCCCTGTCAACATCCTAGTCCAGGCCCACATCCTCTCTCTGCTAGATTACTGGACTGTATTCTCCTAATGTATCTCCTTGTTCCCTTTCTGTCCAACTCCATCCATCCTCCACATTTCCAGCAGAATGTTAATTCTAATTCTTATAATTAACCAATCATCTAATCTAATTTGAGCCCTCAGACTCTGCGCTAGACCCAGGGAAGCAGATTGACAGAGTGCTCTGACATGTTTAATATGAATGGGATTAGCTCCAAAATCACCTGCTTGTACTTCAATTCTTGAAGCCTCCCCCACCCCATTCTTCTTTTGCCTGGTCCTAGGAACAATTGGCTACCTTTCCAGTTTCTAAATTTCATTTTCTGATTCTGTATCAGATGTCCTTTGTATTAGACCTCCAATACCTGCCTCTGCCCCAGCAAGGAATGGCTTAGTCCTGGTTCTGGATCCCCCTTTAAAAATCTTCAGCTGCTTAATGCATCCAGAAATGATTTTTAAACTTAGTTACAAAGAAATGCATAGATCTATAAAGTACATGAAAGTGCCTGAAGCCAAAGTAAAATATTGGCCATCTTTTTCTTAGCTCACAGAAAGAATTAAATTAATGGATTAAATTGTTTCAATTTTCAGTTTTTCTTACACAAAATTATCTGAAATGTCTGTCACCCTTTTCTACTACTGCATTTCTTGTAGCTAGTGATTGATCTAAAGCAAATTAGTATCAAGGGAAAACTAAAAACACACAATGGATTATACTTCAACAGCTTGTTTTTTATGTTAATGAATCTGCTTGTGGTTGTGATTTTATATTGATAACCTAGAACACAGTCATAGTTTCTGCTAGGAAAATTATTTCCAGTACATATAAAGAGTTAAATAGATCAGTGTTTTGTTTGTTCTACAAAGGGCCTCGCAAAATTCTTTTCCCTGAACATGTCTGGAAAACCCTTCTGTAGAGGACAGCATCTCCATCGTTAGCACAGCACATGATCTGACCACTACCCACATTTCTGTCTTTATCTATGCAACTCACTCATGCTCAGCTCTGGGAATCAACCATATCAAGCGAGGCTTATTTCCCAAGATGTACTGTGCTTGTTCAAGCTTTTTTTTTATGAGCACACTGACTCTCTCCTCTCTTATCCATTAATGTTGAAAAGGTACCCTGTCTGTAAAACATCCCCTCCCAGCTGACAAGGTGTCCTCTTCTGTGCTTAATCTATCATAGTATCATAATATCACATCATGATTGACTTGTCTGGACATTTCCATACCATTAGCTTCTAGAGGAAAGAGACAATTTTAAAAAATTTAAAATCCTTGCTTCCTGACACACTGTAAGGAATTCATAAATCCTTGCCAAATAACAAATTTTTCTTTTAAAAGGATAGAAAGGGAAGTTGTAAAACAATCTAACCTAGTAGAATAGCACTGGCTAGCCTCTCTAGTGATACAAATCAGAATATATTTAAGTTTTCCTTTATTCCTTTAATTATCTCTTTCCTCTGGCGTTAATCCCATTTGTTTATTTCGGTCCTTCCCTTTCTTGTTGATAGTTTCCCTCAAATGTGTGATGACCTTTATGAATGAAAAATTATGTTAGGTTTTATGGGTAGATGGCATGAGTTTCCTCTGTTATTGTGTTGATCTGTTTCCCCCACACACCTCTGTCCGGAATGGGAGGGCTAACTGTGGATTCTGTTTAATTGGGTAGGGCCCGTCAACAGGCAGACTTCCTTTTATGTCATGTGGGTGGAGAGGCAGGAAGGCCAGGGACCCCCACAACTGATAAAATAAGGAGGGCTTTCCTTTGAGGGTGGAGCCCTGTAGAGGTTTCCACTCTTGACAGATGCTGGTTTTCCTTTTGTTTTCTTTTTCATTTCTGTTGTGGAAGTTGCAGGACCCTCCTTAGAGCCTTCTCCAAGTAATTTTAGCCTGAGGGCAAAAGTAAAATATTGCTGCTGACAAAGGGTCGATGGGGGAAGGGAGAGAGTGAGAAAAGCCTCCATCTGTCCCAGGTTTTTCACCAGAGCTCTGTAAAAAGAGTTACCATAATGATTGCCTCTCAGCCTACCTCTGCTCTTTGCATTTGTTGACCCTGAGATTGGTGCCTCTTTGGGAAAACCCACTCTTACCTCTGTTTTCTTGAGTTGCCATATTTTCTGCTCTGATTTCTCTGTTGGTCAAAATTTATTGGCTTTCTTGCTCTGCCATATTCCTCAAAATTTATTTCACGTTGATGTCGCCTTTTTAGTTTCCCATGGTGGTTGTAGTTTCATTAGTTTTACATTTACTTTTGACTAAGTAATACATTCACATAGTTTAAAATGTAAGTGGTACAGCCCTAACCAGTTTGGCTCAGTGGATAGAGTGACTGCCTGCGGACTGAAGGGTCCCAGGTTCAATTCTGGTCAAGGGCATGTACCTTGGTTGCAGGCACATCTGATCAATGTTTCTAACTCTCTATCCCTCTCCCTTCCTCTCTGTAAAAAAAAAAATCAATAAAATGTATTTTTTTAAAAATGTCAGCGGTACAAAAGATTGTTCAATGTACAGTCTTCATTCCACCTCTTCCTCCCAGTCCTCCATTGTCAACCAGTGTTGTCAGTTTTATGTATCTCTCAGGGATGCTTTTATGTGCATTCAAGAAAATACATAAATATTCTCTTTTATCCTTTTTTACACATAGCAGTATACAATACACTGTTCTACATGTTTGTTTTTTCATTTAACAATATATGTTGGAAGTTTTTCCATGTCAGCAAAGTTCTTTATTCTTTTTAACAACTGCATAGTGTTCCATTGTATGAAAAGCATAATGTAATTTACTTATCTAGTCTTGTATTGATGAACATTTAGATTGTTTCCATTCATATGATATTAAACAACACTTCAACAAATAGCCCTATACTTATTCATTTTTAAAGTTTCTTTTCAGGCATTTCCATTGGATCTGGAAGCTAAAAATCACAGTTTTTTAACATTGCCCAATCAAAATGTTAACCTAAACACATCACACTCAAAGGAAGATATTTTAAAAGTTGTTTTTTATTTTCCATTAGTTGGATCAATGCATAGTAAATCATTTGTTATACATCCTCTTCAGAGCTAGGCATTGCATTTCAAAGCTTCCAGTGCAAAGTTTTATCTGGCCTTGAGGGTTTTGGTTACACCATGTGGGATTCTCCATGTGGGTCTGCAGCACAAAGCCAGAGATGTGATCTCTGATGCCTCCATCCAGGATGCTGTACTTGTTGGCTAGATTGTTAAGAAGCAATTTCAGGAAATATTTCTTTCAATCCGTTCACTTGTTCAAATCAACATTCACTGTGTGCCTACTGTGAGATGGATGCTCAGCTGGATGCTGGGGACACAAAGATAAAAATGATAGTTCCTACTTTGACAGAAGCTTCCAGTTTAGAGAAGCTAACCAATACATGAGCAGACAACCATAAAACAATGTGTAAGGTGACTCAGTGGATGTGAACCCAGAATGCTATAGGGCCAGGAAAGAGGAGTACCTACCCAGAAAGACTCCTTAGAAGAAGAGATGCCTGTCATAACTTTATATCCCGACTTCTAGCACTCTACTGACAAATCCCAAAATTCAGTGTCCATCTACTGTCCTTGGCTTTTCTACTCTGGAATCTTCCACCCCTTTCTAATTCTGCAGCAATCTTCTAGTTGGCTATATTTATTATGGCACTTCAAAGACTTAGGAGGAGTAAAATAGGAGGGGATTGGAGATCATTATTTCCAGCATGGATGACTGTGGTCAAGGTTTGGAGTGTTAGCCTAGTTTCAGGTATTAGCTTTTAAATAAACTTTTAATTAAAATATATTTGGTATACCATATTATATGAGTTTTAGGTGTATGATATAGTGATTCAACATTTATACACCTAATGTGATAACCATGATAAGTCTAGTAACTGTCTCCATGTAAAGATATTATATTGTTGACTGTGTTCCCTGTGCTGTACACCACATCCTAGTGGCTTATTTATTTTTATAAATGGAAGTGTATACCTCTTATTCCTTTTGACTTTTTCCACCCATCACCCACCCCCTTCCTTTCTGGCAACCAACAATTTGTTCTCTACTATGAATTTATTTCTGTTTTGCTTTGTTTGTGCTTTTGTTTAGGTTTTTTTTTTTAGATTCCACAAAAAGTGAAATCATACCACATTTGTCTCTCTGTCTGACATTTCATTTATCATAATACCCTCTAGGTCAGTGGTTCTCAACCTTTCTAATGCCGTGACCCTTTAATACAGTTCCTCATGTTGTGGTGACCCCCAACCATAAAATTATTTTCATTGCTTGCTACTGTTATGAATCGTAATGTAAATATCTGATATGCAGGATGTATTTTCATTGTTACAAATTGAACATAATTAAAGCATAGTGATTAATCACAAAAACAATATGTAATTATATATGTGTTTTCCGATGGTCTTAGGTGACCCCTGTGAAAGTGTCGTTCGACCCCCAAAGGGGTCGCGACCCACAGGTTGAGAACCGTTGCTCTAGGTCCATTCATGTTGTCTCAAATAGCAAGATTTCATTTTTTTTGTATGTATATATCACATGTTCTTTATCCATTCATCTATTGGTAGAGACCTTAGTTGTTTTCATATCTTGACTATCCTATATAATAAAGAGGTAATATGCAAATTAACCCTCATGCCCTCACAAGATGGCTGCCTACAACCAGGCCGGCAGGGGGGTTAGTGAGGGACGACCAAATGACTGAACAGCAGGCTGTGTGGGGTGACCAGGCTGGCGGGGGGGGGGGGCATGAGGGGTGACCAGGTTGGTGGGGGGGCAGTTGGGGGCAACTAGGCCAGCAGGGGGAGCAGTTGGGAGTGACCAGGCCAGCAGAGGTGGACAGTTGGGGGGCAACCAGGCTGGCAGGGGGGGCAGTTAGGGGCAACTGGGCCAGTGGGGGCTGCAGTTGGGGGCAACCAGGCCAGCAGGGGGGGCAGTTTGGGGTGACCAGGTCAGCAGGGGGGCAGTAAGGAGTGACCATGCTGGTGGGGGGGGACAGTTAGGAGCAACCAGGCCAGCATGGGGGGCAGTTAGGGGCAATCAGGCCAGCATGCAGAGGAAATGAGGGGCAATCTTTAAATAAGATTGTGTGTTTTTTAAAAATATTAGTTCTGATAGTGTGACTAGAATCCTCAATCTCTATTTAGCTGTTTACCTCCATCCCAAGTCTCCAAGGCAAATTTTCTTGGCAAATACCCACTCTTTGTTTTTGATTTGGGGGCACTATGATTCCACTCTCCATTTGTTCAAGTAAAAATGCTGTGTATATTTATGTGTTTTGATAGACAAGAAATACAGGTTACAGTAGTTATCACTTGAAAGTAGAACTGGGGTGGGGGGCAAGTTTTACTTTTTGATGTATACTCTCTGGGCTATTTGCATTATTTTTACAATGAGCATATTTTATTTTTGTGGTAATTTATTTTCAATAAACTTTTTATTAAAGTAAACCTTTATGTACAAAAAAGTGCACAAATAATAAGCTTGATGAATTTTCATAAAGCAAACACACACATTGTAATCATCACCCAGATCAGAGACCTCTGAAGCCCCTTCTTTTCTCCTTCCAAGCACCTTTACTTCTTATAAAAGTAACCACCATTCTGCTTTCTATCACCAAAGATTAGTTTTGACTTAGAGTTCTAGTTGCTCCTTATCCTTGATAGCACTTAGTACCACCAGTGTTATTTATCTTAGCTATTCTAACAGGCTTTGTTTTGCATTTCCCTAATGGCTAATGATGTTAAACATCTTTATATGTGCTCATTTGTCATCCATATGTGCTCTTTGGTGCTAACATCTTCCATAAATATAGAACATAATCATTTTTCATTGCTTGAAAATAATAACGACATTAACCTGATTAAGGAATAGTCTTTGAGTGTAACAATCCTTCTGAGAGGCAGATTGTGTGTGTGGGGGGGGGGGAGGGGTGGAAATAGCCAGAATTTGGTAGCAAACATTCCAGACTACTCTATTTACTGTGGGATCTTAAGCAAATTATTTAACCTATTTCTGCATTGGTTGCTTTGTCCTTAAAGAAGGATGATAATAGCTCCTGCTTCATAGGGTTGTCCTGAGGATTAGGTGAGAAAATATGTAAGGCTCTCTGTCCCATGGCTGACAAGTTAAATGTTCATCTGAGTCTCTCTAACCTTCTGATAAAGCCTGGAAAGAAGGCAAGTAACAAAGGGTTGTTCGTGAGGCAGCCAGTGACTTAGTGTTTTAGGGAGATTCCTCATTCTCTGGCTCTAAGGGGAAAAAAACCCCACTCCAGAGTTGTGTTCTGAAGGCAGGATTCTGTCCCCTCATTTCCTGCTTGCTGCCCTCCTTCCCTCCACCAAACACAGCAGGAGCAGCTTGCTTCTAAAGAAATTTTACAAGAAATTTCTAGTCATAACTGGGCTCTTGGGTCCTGCTTCACCCTTTATATGATTTTAACACCTACTGCTGTGTGTCTGTCCAAAAGACAAGCCCCCCAACATCTTTCTGTATAATTTTCAAAGGTTTTCCCATTGATGTTTCAAGCAGGAGTGGTGATGGCCCTGTGCCTAACATCAAGTAGTCAATATCACATCAGCAAATATTTGCCCAGCACTTAGCAAGCACTAGGCTCTCTGATAGATATGGGGAACCAAACTTAAAAAAAAGGACTGCTATTTTAGGATTTCACCACAGTGCACTGGGAAAGCACCACAAGAGAGCAAGTGCAGCGGGTTGTGGGAGCATACAGGAGGAGTGAGGTGAAGGCGTGAGAGAGTCAGGGAAGATTTCTGCAAGAGGAAAAGTCAGAGTCCTGAGGGAATGTTCTGGGTGAGGGAACAATTTATTCCAGGTATGGAGAATAGCATGTGCAAGGACCCAGAGGTTGGAGACCAGGGGTTCTTTTTCCTCTTGAGCTGCATGATAAGGACCAAAACCTTGCCTTGGGCTCTGCACAACACTCCAGGTTCTTCAAATTGTCCATTAATTGATATTGGAGCACAGAATATCAAGGCTTAACAGTGAAAACATTTTCTTTGTTCCATGGTAAAGGATCTCAGGGATCAAGTGCTTTATAAGTGGGTACATTTTTGGCACCCATTTTCCTTCAGAAATCAGCATATTATTAAGCATATAAGACTTGTCTGTGTGGTTCTGGCTCATTTTTTTTTTACCTCCCTGACTCCAGTCTCAGCCTGCCTTCTGCATCTTCTCCCGAGCTCCAGAGCTCTGGTAGGCTGGCTCTTAGCTCCTATGCCTCCAAACCCTTTCACACAACCTGTTCCTGGGCCCCCTTATGTCACCCCTACTCTAATCTTTCTTTTTGACTTAATTTTTTCACAGGTCTCTCCTCTCTCTTTGTCTCTCTCCAACTTCTAACTGCTGTCCTCCAAGCTGCCCTCCTCAGTTCCAGCAGTCCTTGTCTGATCCCTCTTGTGGTCCATTCCTGATAAACCCTTGTGTACTTCTGAAATGAGCACTTCTGTTCCTAACTCATCTACATATCTTCATAGGACACTGTCTTCTTATTGGGGATCTGACTCAGGAGACCTCTAGTTATCCTAGCGTGTCTCCTGGGGCCAGCCTCATGGTTTCATAGAGAAACAGAGGCTCAGAGAAAGGGGGTGACTTACCAGGGTCATGCAGCAAGTTAGCGGCAGAGCAGAAACTAGCCTGGGTCATGCAGCAAGTTAGTGGTAGAGCAGAAACTAGCCCAGGCCTTCAGACTTCTAGCCAATGCTCTTTCCCAGGAACCAGGCTGCTTCTCACAAGGCTTAGGTTTTCTAGACAGCAGTAGCTCCCACCCACTGATGGCATAGTGCAACCATCTCTGTTAGCACTTCCTTCCTGAGCATGTTCATTAAGAATGAAGCTGACCCATCCAGGCTTCTGACTCAGCAGCCTAGCGAAGAACATCCAGCCATGTCTGCATATGATTAAGGAAACACCAGTTACAGAAAACTCCCCTCCCCTCGCCCCCTCCCCACCTCTGGCAGAGTGAGGGTTGCAAAAGGAAGCAGAGAGATTCAACTAAAGGGTAAGATGTTGGGGACCACTGGGGTGGGGTGGGAGTGCGAAGGCCTATCAAAAGATTTAGGATTACTAGTTAAATACATTTTGGTACAGAAGTATTTTTACTAATGTAGAAGGACCCCTGTGACACACTGTTTAAATATCGTGCCAAAAGTAGCATGTTCCCATAGTTCCACTTGTCAAAATAAGTTGAGAGTGTCCCCAAAGTGCCTATAAGTGGTAGTTAAAAATTAGTTGTATGTTCCCTTCCATTCTCTGTAATCATGTTAGTTTTTTCTATTAGGTTAATAGTTGAAAATGATTAGGATACACTTCAAGAGCTGTTGTGGCACAGGTGTCCACCTGAAAATAGAGTTGAGAACTTTTCTCCTTCACAATGTCCCACAGTGAACAGGGCCATCTTTCTAAGTGTGCACTTAGAACAGATTCCACTGAAGCACATTTACTTCTAATCCAATTGGAGATTTTGACACCAAGATTTTTTTAACTAGAAAAAGCAGGAAGCCCTGATGCCTCCTATCATACAGGGTCACTGATGCCTGGATGCCTCTCTCCTGATGTGGGGGAACCAACCATATCTGAAGCAAATTCAAATAAGCAATCAGATTGACAATTATAATGAGTTGAATAGTGTTCCCCCAGAACTCTTATTCACCTTGAACCCTTAATGTGACCTTATTTGCAGATATTAGTTAAATTGAGATAAGGCCACACTGAATAAGGGTGGGCCCTCATACAATGACTGAGGTCCTTACAAGAAGAGGAAAATTTAGACACAGACACACACCAAGGGAAAATGGCAATGTGAAGACAGAAGCAGATGGTCCCTATGTTCAAAGGGACAATATGGTCCCTTTGACTATGTTCTATACTGATCTATACATTCATAGAGAAATGTCTTATACTTCAAGTCTTGTTTCTGGGTGATAAATTCTGGGAGATTTCTATCCTTTTGCTTTAACTTCTCTGTATTTTCTAAGTTTCCCACAATGAATATATATGACTTGTGTAAAAATATATATCTATATCTACCCATCATATAGTAATCCATCTATTTATCTCTATTATTAGTACTCTCATGCACTTACAAAATCCTTCCAAGTGAAATAGTCACATGGTACCTTTGTTTCTTGTAGGCACAAGGCTAGGAACTACTCCCTAAAAGCCCTAGCAAGGATGAGGGTAGACAATAATAGAATTACATATTTTCATATTTTGTGTTTGACACTCTTCAAAGAACATACTTCAATATCCATTGACCAATTCAACCTCACACCCCTCTAATAGATAATAAACCTAAGTTTAGTAAGGAACTTGTCCAAGGTCTCATAGCTAATAATTCATGGGGCTATGAATAGCACTCGTGGTCTTGACACCTAGTTCAGTAGCAGTTTGTAGAATGTAAGATTCATGAAGACAGTACTTTTTTTTGTCTTGTTCTCCAAGCACTTATATCTCCAGCACGTGAATGTGACAAAGCAAGCTCCTCCTTTGAAACATTTTCTGCTACTAGGAACATTTTTAAGACAAGCTGTTGTACTCTTTAAAAGGTAGCAGGGCTACTGAAGGGATCTCTTCTCAATCTCTGTCCTTCCACAGCCTGCTCTTTGGTTACCTTGCCCCTAAGCAAGTGATAGTTAATTTCTAGGTTGGCTTCTCACATCATCTACAAGGAGTCATCTATGCAGGATGGTTAAAGGTGAGTATAAAAAGGGCTCCTTGTCCAAAAATAATGACACCCAGAAAAAAATTCCAGGGTCAAGAGGAGGGCAGGTTATGTCAATGGGTGTACTTGTCAACCACAGAATGATGTATTTGGTTCTGGGAAAAGGAACAGGACACACCAAGAAATATTGATAGATGGAGAAGATGGCAGCAAGTTAGATGGAGAAGGGTCTCGGTTTAGGAATGGAACAAGAGAAATACAGAAAATATCCAAAAGTAAGTCAAGAAGGAAGACTTGTTGAAACAAATGAGAAAAAAAGAAGTGGGGTGGAACAGGCAGAGACATTGCCACCCCTGCCTGTCACCCTAGCCCAACCTCTAGATCTCACAAGTGAGGATATCCCACATGCTCAACTCAGGTGACACCTTCCCATGAGGCCTTGCAGGAAATGGGTTCCAAGAAAGCAGATTTCCTACAGGCTGCCACCCCAGTTCTTTTCAAGTACATGTTCCTAAGAAACTTTAAAGATGCTCCATTCTCTGCCTGGGAGGGTAAGCACATGACTACTCTTAGTGCTGGAAATCCAGGAAGTCAACTGAGCAGTTGGAGAAGGGCAGACAGTGCCAGGAGCCTCTGAGCACTGGGATCAGGGAGCAGAGTTCTGGGGACACTGTAGGATTTCACAATTCTCTCCTTCCTTGACATTTTCCACACAAGCAGGAGAGGAAATGGAAGCTTAAAGAAGATTATGGGAGGTTGACAAAATGGCGGCAATATAGGCAGACGCGTCCCAGGTCTTGTCCTGGAGCAAATGGAGTAAGCAGCTGAAACTAATAACACCCACCCCGAATTGGCGAAATTACTCAGCTGGTGAGACGGTTTGCAGCCGGGAAGGGCAGAGCTCCCCTGGAAAGCAGATCCAAGCAACAGCAACGTCCTGATCACCACACCCTCTGTCTGAGGAACAGCAGCTGTACGTGAAGCCTCCCCTCACCAGCCAGAAGAGCCACCACAGCTGTGAACAGCACCCACCAGAGAAGCAGTTGCCAACTGAGGAGCAGCTGCTACCGCAACCGCCCGAGGAGCAACCACAGCCCAAGGAGCCACTGCCCCCCAAGGAGCAGCCACTGAACTACTCAAAGTCTAGATATGTCAGTGAGATCAAACATGGGTAGACAAAGAAGATTATGGACCAATAAATTGTAGGTAAGGAAGTTGCTTCCTGGAAAAACTTCTCGCAGTAAATGTTATTTTAGAACTATCCATATTTGGATAAGAAGAAAAGAGAAGGTTTACCAAGTAAAAAGGAAAGTTCATACCACTGTCTTAATTTCTGGACATTCCTGGCCAATTTTCTAGACAAGGAGAGGGGTGGAGTTTTAATACCAAAAGATTTCAAGAAATCACGCATGTTTGTGTCCAGGCAGAGCCACATGTATTCTGTGAAAGGAAGTATTCCAGACCTTTGAATTGTATGGAAGGGGAGTTGCGAGAGTGTTTTTCTTCTTTTCCAACATTGTATAATTCTGCCCCTAGCATCCTAGGTTTCACAGCATTAGTAGACACTAGGTACAAAATGCCAATCACTCATGTGACTGAATCTAGGAATTAATGCATTTGTCAATTATCAATGCTCATATTCATGCTTCTTAACAAAGAACTATCACAAAATCTACTCTCATCTGGAAGCAAAATGTTAATTTATAGCTTAGGACACATAAGAATTTTCTTTCGGTGAGGTAAGTTTGGGGAGTATCTTTTACAAATTTAGTGAACAATGAAAATTACTGCATTTTCAGAGTTAGTTCCCCTGGAACTGGAAATGTGAACAGAGCCGAGTTAGTGCTAATACTTTCTCTTACTTCTGTAAGAGAGAAGAAAGACTGTGCTCAAGGTAGCAGTGATGTGCGAAAACCACAGTAGTTTTGAGAAGAGCAACTGTGGCTTTGCACAAGTTATTCCTAAACCAAGGCTGGGGACAGCATATGACATTTTTCAAAGTAGTTTCTGAACTGGTATTTCACTGAAATAAAGACTATCTTTGAGCAAGACTGAAAAGCCAAAAATCTATGTTTCATGACCTCTGCAGGAAATTAACGGTTGCATTGTGGAACATTCTAGAATGGCTGCTCAAACCATGGCCTGGAAGAACTATAGATCTCTTTGAGTTGGAGTGAGGGAGGCAGGGAAAATCTAATTCCCAATAAAGGTTTTGGATAGTTTTCCACTCTGTCTCCCCACCCCTCACCTAGTTTTTCTGTCTTTTTTTAAACTACCTTCTCTAGTACAGGGGATCTGATTCAATAGATAGGACAAAGGAAGTAGAGAAAACAGAGAAGAAAAATTAATGCCAATCTCAGGAGTCCAGAACATTTTTAATTCAAAAGTTGCCTGCAAATGTCAAGAATCTGTATCATGCACCCATTGTATTAGTAGTGCATCTAAGTATGTCATGTACCTAGATGTGCCCTGGAAAAAGTTCTCATAGTAAATGTTATTTTAGAACTATCCATATTTGGATAAGAAGAAAACAGACGGTTTACCAGGTAAAAAGAAGGATATCACTAATGAGTAAGCAAGTGAACAGGAAGAGCAAAGAAATGGCTTGATAGCATACACTAAATCTCTTCTGTTCCTTATGGGGTTCCTTGGATTTGTTAAATACCCTATAGAACAAACTAGGAAACTTTTAAGTAGCTAGCTCTCCTAAACAGCATTAAGCCCAGGCAGCTTCATGAATGAGTTCTTTAAAATTTTCAAGGAACAGATACTTTTGATACTTTAAAAAATGTTCTAGAACAGTGAAAAATAACACAGAGTTCTCACTTTATAAAAATTATTTTAAATCTTTATTGTTGGAAGTATTACATATGATATGCCCCCTCCTTTCTCCTATTGACCCCTGATAGCCCATCCCCATCTCCCATCCCAGGCCTCCACCACCCTATTGTCTGTGTCCATGGGTTATGCATATAGGCATACAAGGTCTTTGGTTGATCTCTTCTGAGATTCAAAAGTCTGTTCCATGCTTCTATGTCTCTGGATCTATTTTGTTCAACAGTTTATTTTGTTCATTAGATTCCACATATGAGTGAGGTCATGTGATACTTGTCTTTCTCTGAGTGGCTTATTTCACTTAGCATAATATTCT